TTCTTAGTTGTCAGTGAAAAACAACTTATTCCAGTAATTTAGTAAATAACCACCTATTTGTTGTCCCATTTCATTGTAGATTATCTCAATTTCCCCACTTTAATTTTTTTTCTTGTACTGTATGGTAATCCAACTCAATGTATTTTGTTCACTCATAGTACATTGGGTTAACAGCAACATGAAGACTCTAGCACTAATACTTCAAATATAGACATTCATAAGATGAAGTCCTCAATTTCGATCCCTCTACTTTGTATAAATCCTTTAGCAATAAGTCAAGCCTCACAAACTTGTAAGGTGCTATAAGAATGGTATTTAATTTTGAAGACCCATTGCCTGCACACCGTGTCCATGACACGTCCTGGACATGGCCTGTGTCCCTGCTACGTCCTGGACATGGCCTACACACCGTGTCCCAGAATCTGCCTATAAATGCCCGAAAATCAAGCTGCATCCATGCAGTAGCCCTGACGCGTCTCGAACATTGCATGTACACCATATCTATGACATTGCGTAGAAATACGTGAAAATCAGGATGTGTCCCTATAGCATTCTAGACATGGCCTGCACACCGTGTCCCAGAAATTGCCTAGAAATGCTTGAAAACCAGGCTGTATCCCTGCCGTGGCCTAGATGCGTCCTGGACATCGCTTGCACACCGTGTTCCAGTAACTGAGTAAAAATACCTGAAAGTCAAGATACATCCCTGTCGCATCCTGAACGACGCCTGCGCACGGTGTACTAGAAACTGCCTAAAATTGCTTAAAAATCAGGCTTCGTCCCTACCATGGCCAGGACGCATCCCGAACATGGACTATACACCGAGTCCCAAAATTTGCCAAGAAATGCCTGAAAATCAGGCTACATCCCTGTCGCCGCCAGGACGTGTCCCGAACATGTTCGACACACCGTGCCCATAAATTGCCTACAAATGCATGAAAATCAGGTTGCGTCCCTATCGTGGCTAGGAGGCGTCCCGGACATGGCCTGCACACGATGGCAAAAAACTTGCCAAAAATGCCTGAAAATCAGGCTACGTCCCTGTCGTGGCTCGGACGCATCCTAGTCATGGCCTGTACACCGTGTCCCAGAAATTGCCCAGAAATGCCTTAAAATTAGGCTACATCCTTGACGCGTCGTAGACATGGCCTGTACACTGTGTCCAAGAAACTACCTAGAAATACCTTGAAATCAGGTTGCATCCCCGTCGCAACCCTAACGCGTCCTAGACATTGCGTACACACCGTGTTAAAATGGCTTCACTGAAAATTAGTTTTTTATTTTCAGCCGTCGTGTTTTTGTTGTGTGTTCGTTCTGAAGCAAGAGAGTTTGTAATAGACGGCGAAAATAATTTATGGGCAGTTCCATCTTGACTAGTTCAACAAATGGGCTGAGAAAACTCGTTTTCAGATTGGGGATTCCTTAGTTGAAGTATGATTCCAAGACTGATTCAATGCTGGAAGTGACCGAGGAAGACTACAAAATTTGCAACAACACCAATCCAATAAAATCACACCATGATGGAGAAACTACAATTTCACTAGAAAAATCATTAGTGGAGCTGAAGAACATTGCTAGAAGGGTCAAAAGCTTGAAGTTATGGTTCTGTCCGATAAACATGGCTCCAACGACCAATCTACAGCTCAAGCACCTTCTCCTCATCATCATCGTCACCACTACCATGCATCGGCGCTAGCCCCTGACTAATGGTGGTACTGGTCTAAAGGCGACGGTGGGGTTTATTTATAGCACTATGGTGGTGGGAAGTTTGGTTTCGTTGTGTAGAGTAATTTTATTATTCATGGGTTGTAACATTGAGCTACATTTTATTTTTATTACTCTTTGTCACGTATATATTTCCTGCTTTTCATTCAAACTTAATTGGAGAAAAACCCTAAACCCTATGACCCAGAATCTGCCTAGAAATGCCTGAAAATTAGACTGCGTCCCTACTGTGGCCATGACGCGTCCCGAACTTTGCCTGCACACCAAGTCCTAGAAATTGCCTAGAAATGCCTAAAAATCAGGCTGCGTCTCTGTCGCGGCCAGGATGCGTCCTGAACTTGACCAACACACCGTGTCCACAAACTGCCTAAAAATGCCTGAAAATCAGGTTGCGCCCCTACCTGGCCAAGAGGCGTCCCGGACATGGCCTGTACACCGTCCCTAAAAACTACCCAAAATTACCTGAAAATCAAGCTCCATCCCTGCCGTGGCCCTAACGCGTCCTTGACATGACCTGCACACCGTGACCTAGAAACTAATGAGAAATGCCTGAAAATCAGGCTGCGTCTCAGACAAGGCTTGCACACCGTGCCCAAAAACTTCTCAAAAATGCTTGAAAATCAGGCTATAACCCCGCCATGGCCCGGATGCATCCCGAACGTGGCCTGCACACCGTATCCTAGAAACTGCCTAGAAATGCTTGAAAATCAGACTGCATCCCTGCCACATCCTGGACATGGGCTGCACACCGTGTCCCAGAAACTACCCACAAATGCCTAGAAATCAAGCTGCATCCCTGCAGTAGCCTCGACGCCTCCCGAACATTTCCTACACATCGTGTCCAAGAAAATGCATAGAAATACGTGAAAATTAGGGTTTGTCCTTGTAGCATCCTGGACATGGCCTACACATAGTGCCCAAAAATTGCCCATAAATGACTAAAAATTAGGCAGCGTCCCTGTTATATCCTGGACATTGCCTACACAATGTGTCCCAAAAACTGTCTCTGTCGCAATAAGGACGCTTTTCGATCATGGCCTGTACACCGTGCCCAAAAATTGCCCTGAAATGCTTGAAAATCAGGCTCCATCCATTCCGTGGCTTGGACGGGTCCTGGACATGGCCTGCATATCGTGACCCAGAAACTACCTTGAAATGTCTGAAAAACAGGCTATGTCCCAGATATGGCCTGAACATAGTGCCCAGAAACTGTCGAAAAATGCCTGAAAATCAGGCTGTATCCCTGTCGTGTCCATGACTTATCCCAAATATGGCATGTACACCTATCCCAGAAACTGCCCAGAATGCTTGGGAACGTGCTTGCGCCCCTGACATGGCCTGCACATCGTGCTTCCTTCGTTTGGTTAAAAATTTGCTTGCATCCCTATCGTGGGCAGGAAGCGTCCCAAACATTGCTTGCATACTGTGTCCACAAATTGCCTAAAAATGCTTGAAAATAAGGTTGTGTCCCTACCGCGGCCAGGACGAGTCCCGGACGTGGCCTGCACACGGTGCCCACAAACTGCCTTGAAATTCCTGAAAATCAGGTTGTGTCCCTACCGCAGCCAGGACGTGTCCCAGACATGGCCTGCACACTGTGTCCCAGAAATTGCAAACCAGACGCATGACACGATCGATGTCTATGTACTATTACCCAAAGATTTATCCTCGGGAATACCCTTGAGTATTATTCACTAGTTTTTAGACACATTTCATTAAATATCATTTGCGCTTCATATAATTTTTTTCACTTATAAGAGGTCAGGTTTATGTCGCCCTCCTTTATGTGTATTATCATTTCCTATATTATAAAATAGGCCACACTAGTGGTATTTCCCAAAAAAAAAAAAAAAAACCAAACGCTGAAAAACCAAAACCGTAAACCCATAACCCTATAGACTAGATAGAAAAATTCACAGAATTCTCAAAAAATATTTGTATTCCATGGCTTGGCTTTATAAAATGTCTCAAACACAAGGCCTTTTATAGGTACAAAGGATCCCAAATACATTGTATGAACTTAATAGACTAATTAATGAATTTTCCTACATACTATGAATAATATGATACAAAGAATCATTTGGATACATGATTTAAATATATGCATGAATATTAAATAAACTAATTCATGTATCAAATTTAATTTTTTTCATTATTCATGAATCATGTTTAATTTCCAACATTCAGAAACCGAGAACTAAGCATGGGCTAATTCGGTTTCCTCTTTGAATTTTCAATTTTAAGTTTAAAATAGAAAATGATTTTTGTTTTTCATTCTGAAATACTATTTCTTAAAATAGAAGATTACATTTGATTTAAAATTATGAAAAATTATTTTATGGATTTTTTTATTCTGTAAAATATATTCGCATTCTATTTTTTAAATGTTGTATAAAATATAACATTCAAATTAACTTGAAATGATATTATATTTCCAGCTCAAGAAGAAGCATTGATTCACCAGCCACCAGTAAGAAATGAGGACACATTTCCTACTGGGATTTCAACTATTGTCATTGCTTTTCAACACAGTAAGTATCTATTTTCCATTTTATGTTTTAGTTAAAAAAAAATTATTGTTTGGCTAGACTTTATTTTTGGAAGCAGAAGAAGTTAGTTTTAAGTAACTTTTTAGCGAAATATTTAAAACAAAAAGTAAGAAAAAAAGAACTATAAATAGTCATGGGAATGCTAATTCATTTCTTTCTTGAATTTGTTGAGGGTTCATTGTATGTCTTAGCGATGATGTTGCTAATTATTATGACTTTTTTGCTATCATCCAATAATATATTAATAATCTATTATATTTTTATGTTCAGGTTTCTCAGCAGTCGAGTCAAAACGGTATGATGCATCCTAGACATGGCCTACACACCGTGTCCCAGAAACTGCCTACAAATGCTTGGAAATCAGACTGCATCCATGCAATAGCCCTAACGTGTCCCAGACATTACCTATACACCGTATCTAAGATATTGTATAGAAATACGTGAAAATCAGGATGTGTCCCTGCAGCATTCTAGATATGGCCTGCACACCATGTCCCAGAAATTGCCTAGAAATGCCCAAAAACCAGGCTGCATCCCTGCCGCGGCCTAGATGCATCCCGGACATCGCCTGCACACCGTGTTCCAGAAATTACCTAGAAATACCTGAAAGTCAGGATACGTGCCTATCGCATCCTAGACAAGGCCTGCACACGGTGTCCCAGAAACTGCCTAAAATTGCTTGAAAATCAGGCTTCATCCCTGCCATGGCCATGACGCATCCCAGACATGGACTGCACAACGAGACCCAGAATTTGCCAAGAAATGCCTAAAAATCTGGCTGCGTCCCTATTGCGGCCAGGATGTGTCCCAGACATGGTTGGCACACCGTACCCACAAATTGCCTACAAATGCCTGAAAATCAGGCTAGGTCCCTACTGCGGCTAAGAGGTGTCCCAAATGTGGCCTGCACACCATGGCCAAAAATGCCTAAAAGTTAGGCTGAGTCCCTGCCGTGGCCCGGAAGCATCCTGGTCATGGCCTGCACACCGTATCCCCAAAACTGCCTAGAAATGCCTTAAAATCAGGCTACGTCCCTGACGCGTCCTGGACATAGCTTGCACACTGTGTCCAAGAAACTGCCTAGAAATGCCCAAAAATCAGGTTGCATCCCTGCCGCGGCCCTGACGCATCCCAGACATTACCTGTACACTGTGTTAAAATGGCTTCACTCAAATTTTTTTTTTATTTTCGACCATCGTGTTTTTGTGGTGTGTTCGTTATGAAGCAAGAGAGTTTCTAATAGATGGTTAAAATAATTTATGGACAGTTCCATCTTTTGTTGACGAGTTCAACAAATGGGTTGAGAAAACTCATTTTTAGATTAGGGATTCTTTAGTTCTGAAGTATGATTCCAAGACTGATTCAGTGCTGGAAGTGATCGAGGAAGACTACAAAATCTGCAACAACGCCAATCCAATAAAATCACACCATGATGGAGAAACTATAATTTCACTAGAAAAATTAGGTCTATTTTTCTTCATCAGTGGAGCTAAAGAACATTGCCAGAAGGGTCAAAAGCTAGCGGTTATGGTTCTGTCCGATAAATATGGCTCCAGCAACCAATCTACAGCTCAGGCACCTTCTCCTCATCATCACCGTCACCACTACCATGCACCGGCGCCAGCCCCAACTAACGGTGGTACTGGTCTAAAGGTGGCGGTGGGGTTTATTTGTGGCACTGTGACGGTGGGAAGTTTGGTTTCGTTGTGTAGACTAATTCTTTTATTCATGGTTTTTAATGTTAAGCTACATTTTATTTTTATTATTCTTTTTCACATATATACTTCCTCTTTTAATTCAAAATTAATTGAAGAAAAACCCTAAATCTTATGACCCAGAATCTGCCTAGAAATGCCTGAAAATTAGACTGCGTCCCTACCGCCGTGGCCATGATGCATCCCGAACATGACCTGCACACCAAGTCCCAGAAATTGCCTAGAAAAGCCTGCAAATCAAGCTGCATCCCTGTCGCAGTCAGGATACGTCCCGAACTTGGCCAACATACCGTGTCCACAAATTGCCTAGAAATGCCTGAAAATCAGGCTACATCCCTACCTGGCCAGGAGACATTCTAGACATGGCCTGTACACTGTCCCCAGAAACTGCCTAGAACTACCTAAAAATTAAGCTTCGTCCCTGTCGTGGCCCTAACGCGTCCTTGACATGACCTGCATATCGTGACCTAGAAACTAACGAGAAATGCCTAAAAATCAGGCTGCATCTAGGACAAGGCTTCCACACCGTGCCCAAAAACTTCTTAAAAAAGCTTGAAAATCAGGCTGTGACCCCGTCGTGGCCCGGATGCACCCCAGACGTAGCCTGAACACCATATCCCAGAAACTGCCGAAAAATGCTTGAAAATCAGGCTACGTCCCTACCACATCCTGGACATGGCCTGTACACCGTGTCCCATAAACAACCCACAAATGCCCGAAAATCAGGTTGCATCCTTGCAGTAGCCTGGACGCATCCCGAACATTGCCTGCACACCGTGTCCAAGAAAATGCGTAGAAATACGTGAAAATTAGGATATGTCCCTGTAGCATCCTGGACATGGCCTACACACCGTGCCCCTGAAATTGCCTAGAAATACCTGGAAACTAGGTTGCATGCCTACTGCGGCCCAGACGATTCCCGAACATGGACTGCATATCGAGTGCCAAAAATTACCTTCAAATGCTTGGAAATGAGGCTACGTCCCTACTGCAGCTAGGGCGCGTCCCGGACATGGCTTGCACACCGTGCCCAAAAACTTCCCAGAAATGCCTGAAAATCAGGTTACATCCCTGTTGTGACCGGACGCATCTCGGTCATGGCCTACACACCATGTCCCAAAAATTGCCTAGAAATACCTGAAAATCCGATTGTGTCCTTGACTCGTCCTGGACAAGACCTACACATCGTATCCCAAAAACTGCTTAGAAATGCCTGGAAATTAGGTTGCATCCCTACCCCGGCCTAGATGCGTCCCGAACATTGCCTGCACACCGTGTTAAAATTGCTTCACTAAAAAATAGTTTCTTATTTTCAACCATCATGTTTTTCCTGTGTGTTCTTTCTGAAGCAAGAGAGTTCGTAGTGGGCTGTGAAAATAATTTATGGGCAGTTCCATCTTCTGTTGACGAGTTCAACAAATGGGCTAAGAAAACTCATTTTCAGATTGGGGATTCTTTAGTTCTAAAGCATAATTCCAAGACTCATTCAGTGCTGGAAGTGAACGAGGAAGACTACAAAATCTGTAACAACGCCAATCTAATAAAATCACACAATGATAGAGAAAATCAGGCGGCATCCTTGCTGTGGCCCTAACGCGTCCCGGACTTGGCCAGCACACCGGGTCCCAAAAATTGCCTAGACATGCCTAAAAATTAGTCGGCGTCCCTGCCGCGGTGAGGATGCATCCCGGACTTGGCCAGTACATCGTACCCACAAACTGTCTAGAAATACTTGAAAATTAGGCTGCGTCCCTACCTAGCCAGGAGGCATCCCGAACATGGCCGATACATCGTGCCCAGAAGCTGCCCAAAATTTCCTAAAAATCAGGCTTGGTCCCTGCCCTGGCCAGGTTACGTCTCGAACATGGCCTGTACACCTTGACCCAGAAACTGACAAGAAATGCTTGAAAATTAGGCTGCGTCAAGGACGTGGTCTACACACCGTGCCCAAAATCTCCCCAAAAATACCTAAAAATCAGGTTGTATCCTTGCCAGGCTAGGATGCGTCCTAGGATCGTGCCTAGAAATTACCCGAAATGACCTAAAAATCAGGCTCTGTCCCTACCATAGCCCAGACAAATCTTGGACATGACCTGCACACTGTGGCGCAAAAACTAACGAGAAATGCTTGATTTTTAGGCATTTCTGGGCAATTTCTGGGTACAATGTACAGGCCATGTTTAGGATGTGTTCTGGCTATGACAGGGACACAACCTGATTTCTAGTCATTTCTAGGCAGTTTTTGGGATACGGTGTGCAGGCCAGATCTAGGACGCATCAGGGATATAGCCTGATTTTTCGAAATTTCTAAGCAGTTTCTAGGACACGGTGTGTAGGCCATGTCTGGGATGTATGTGAAGGATGCTGGCATATGTAGGCAGCACGTAGGTCATACCTATGCCCATCCCAGGCATGCTAAGGGACATCTCATGCACCTGAATTCAGTACAGCAACTATTGGACATTGTATGCACATGAAGAGAGCAACTCAGGCACAATGCAAGAACGCGGCGGGGGGGGGCATATCACAAGGACACAAAAGCACATCGCAGTCATACCAAGGCGACATATCGGGACACCCAAACTTAAGATCATATATTTTATGTCCACTGCACCAACTTTAGCACGTAGAGGCTCCCAACTTGCTTCATTTGCTATGCGTTACTGTACATGGGTTTTCATCCTTCCACACATAGGCATTGAAAAGAAAAGTTGTTTCAAGGACCATGGACATTTTAGCCTCAAAGCGTTCCCCAATAAAGGAAATTTTGATTAGGAGGAGCAGAAGGGGAGGGACGAATTGGAGCAACAAAAGGCTGAATCTCAGCGGATCATGGCAGCAAGGCCACTCTGTCACTAATAGTACCCAATCGCATATTTAAGTCATTTGCAAAGGATTCTACCCATCTCTCAATTGAAATTGTACTTCAAGGCGGCCGATGTAGCACGTCCACTGTGAGAGCTTAGCCAATGACATGTACCCCTAGGGGCCGTAAGGCCCCTACTATGGGTCAGCAAGCGATCGACGGGTGTACGCATCGCCTCTAGCCTGAATTCTGACTTAGAGTCGTTCAGTCATAATCTAGCGTTTGGTAGCTTCACGCCACTAGCTTTTCAACCAAGCGTGATGACCAATTGTGCGAATCAATGGTTCCTCTTGTACTAGGTTGAATTACTATTGCGACACTATCATCAGTAGGATAAAACTAACCTATCAAGCATTCAGTCATAATCTAGCTCATGTTCCCTAATGGTGGGTGCACAATCCAACACTTGGTAAATTTTGCTTCACAATGATAAGAAGAGCCAACACCGAAGGATAAAAAACCAACGTCGCTATGAATGCTTGGCTGCCACAAGCCAGTTATCCCTATGGTAACTTTTCTGACACCTCTAGTTTCAAATTTCAAAGGTCTAAAGGATCGTTAGGCCATGCTTTCATGGTTCGTATTCGTACTAGAAATTAAAATTAAATGAGCTTTTATCCTTTTGTTACAAACTAGATTTCAATTCTCATTAAGCTCATCTTTGGACACCTACGTTATCTTTTAATAGATGTGCCATCCCAGCCAAACTCCCCACCTGACAATGTATTCCACCCGGATCAGCCCACGAAGCGAGCCTTAGGTCCAAAAAGAGGAGCAGTGCCCATCTTCGATTCACGAAATAAGTAAAATAACGTTAAAAGTAGTGGTATTTCTCTTTCGTCTTTCGGTTTCCACTTATTCTACACCTCTCAAGTCATTTTACAGAGTCAAACTAGATTCAAGCTCAATAGGGTCTTCTTTCCTCGTCGATTCTGCCAAGCCTGTTCCCTTGGCTGTGGTTTCGCTGGGTAGTAGACAGGGACAGTGGGAATCTCATTAATCCATTCATGTGCATCACTAATTAGATGATGAGGCATTTGGCTACCTTAGGAGAGTCATAGTTACTCCCGCTGTTTACCCGCGCTTGGTTGAATTTCTTCACTTTGACATTCAGAGCATTGGGCAGAAATCAAGTTGCGTGAGCATCCATGGGGACCATCGCAATGCTTTGTTTTAATTAAACAGCCAGATTCTCCTTGTCTATACTAGTTCTTAGTCGACCGTTCGACGCCCAGGGAAGGCCCCCGAAGGAAATGTTCCCAGTTCGTCCCCTGATCGGCAAGCATCGGCCCGCTCTCATCGCGAGAGTAGATCGAATAGTCCATCGACAGTTGATGGGTTCAGGACTGGGACCCCCATGCCCATCCCTCAGAGCCAATCCTTTTCTCGAGCTTACGGATCCATTTTACTGACTTCTCTTGCGTACATTGTTCCATTGACCAGAGGTTTTTACCTTGGAGACCTGATGCAGTTATGAGTACGATCGGGTGTGGATGGTACTCGGTCTTCTAGATTTTTAAGGGTCATCGGGGGCGCACCGGACATCACGAGACGTGCGATGCTTTTCTAGTCGTTGAACCTTACCTTCGATCGAGCCGTTTCTAGGTTGGATAGGCTATTAAATAGAAAATATAACTCTTTCTAAGGCCCTCGACGACGTCTCTGGACTCCCTAACATTGTCGTCAACCATCGGGTATAAGTCACGCACTTCAGTACCATCCATTTTTGGGGCTTGTTGATTCGACAAGTGAGTTGTTACAAACTTCTTAGCGGATTTTGACTTCCATAACCACCATCCTATTGTCTTAATCAACCAACACCCTTTGTGGGATCTAGGTTTACATGAAGTTGGGCACCATAAACGAACTTTTGGTTCATCCCACATCGCCAGTTCTACTTACCAAAAATGACCCACTTGGAGCTCTCGATTTTGTGGAGCGGCTCAATAAAGCAGCCGCACCATCCTACCTATTTAAAGTTTGAGAATAGGCTGAGGACGTTATGCCCTCGATGCCTCTAATCATTGACTTTACCTGATAGAACTCTCGCCTGAGCTCCAGGTATCCTGAGGGAAACTTCGGAGGGAACCAGCCACTAGATGGTTCGATTAGTCTTTCGTCCCTATACCCATGTCAGATGAATGATTTGCACATTAGTATCACTGTGGGCCTCCACCAAATTTTTTTCTGGCTTCGATCCTCTCAGGCATAGTTCACCATCTTTCGGGTCCTAACAGGTATGCTCTCACTTAAACCCTTCTTAGAAGATCGAGGTCGGTCGATGTTGCACCCATCGAGGGGATCATGCCATTCAGCGTCCTTGCACCTTACAAGTTTACTCGACCATTGACTCGTACACATGTTAGACTCCTTGGTCAATGTTTCAAGATGAGTCGAATGGGGAGCCCGTAAGCTAGCACCGGGAGCACGTAGGTGTTGAGGCATGCTGAGGGCATGCGCTATCCCCCACAATCGGGATGATGACATTTCGTGGGCATCTCGATTGCCTGAGCTTTGGTCACCTCCTCAATTTGTGCTGGTCTACGCCCCGAGTCGATCGGCGGACCGACTCGTCGTCATTCCACATCCTATCGGGACGTATCACCGACCCCCATTCCCTTTCCTTTGGATAATTTCAAGCACTCTTTGACTCTTTTTTCAAATTTCTTTTCTTCTTTCCCTCACTGTACTTGTTTGCTATCGGTCTCTCATCCGTTTTTAGCCTTAGATAAAATTTACAGCCCAATTGGGCTGCATTTCCAAACAATCTAACTCATCGACAGTGCCTTGTTGTGCGGCAAGGTTTGAGCACAACGATGCTCTCATCCTTTCTGGCACCCCTTTCTAGGGGACTTGAGCTTGGTCCGCCATTGAGGATGTTTCTCCAGACTACAATTCGAAAGGTAGGGCCATTTGATTCTCAAGTTTGGATTTTATCTGTTCGATCGTCGTTACTAGGGAAATCCTTGTAAGTTTCTTTTCCTTTACTTATTGATATGCCTAAACTCAGTGGGTGATCCCGCCTGACCTGGGGTCATCGTCGAGGTATGAGGAACACCTTCGGGGTCGAGGCATTCGGGCCAAAGACGTGGTCATGCACGACAATGCACAAGTTGAGGTCTTCAACCACCAATTATTGCGAGTCGCGTTGATGTTGAATTGCATTTGGGCTAGCCAGGCACAAACGCGCATGGGAGCCAGTGTCGAGCGCGTGCGTGCACATCGAAGGAGCGAGTCTCAGATTCGGGACGACTATTTGGTCGTGCCCGTATCATCCTCCCCTACGTGTCACGAAGCGAGTTCGCGGGCCTGCTTTGCAGGTTTCGATAATGATCCTTCCATAGGTTTACCTACAAAAGTCTTATAACGACTTTTCCTTCCTCTAAATGATAAGGTTTAGTGGAATTCTTGTGATGTCGTGGGCAGCGGACCATCCACATTGCCGTGATTCGAAACATTCAATCGGTAAAAGCGACGGGCAGTGTGTGCAAATGGTAGGGATGTAGTTAACGCAAGATGATGACTTGCGCTTATTAGGAATTCTTCGTTGAAGACCAACAATTGTAATGATCTAACCCCATCACGATGAAATTTCAAAGATTACCCGGACCTATCAACCAAGGCTATAAACTCGTTGAATACATCAGTGTAGCGTACGTGCGGCCTAGAACATCTAAGGGCATTACACACTTGTTATTGCCTCAAACTTTCGTAGCCTAAAAGGCCAT